AGGAAAAACCTCCTAGAGCCTACTGTTTGCAAATTTACTTAAATGAATAAACAGTAAAAATCATTAACTGAACTAGAACAGTTTTTCCATTCAAACTTGAAAAATAGCTAAAATGAGGTTAAATGTATTAATGTTACCTAGTTGCTTTGCCACATAAAAAATACATGGTGATTAGGGTATAGGAAACAATCCGTTACAACAGGTGTAGTAAACACAGCATACAGGCACATAAAATTATTTTCATGTCATGAGACATCCGTAGTGGTTGTTTGTTGTATTATTAACTCAGTGGCCTTTTGGTGACAGAGATGAACTACATCTCTGTAGTTGTCTCAACCCTGAACTCATATCTGTCCTGTCATGACTATGTGAGGCTGTTGTTCCAGCTGTCACAGCTGTTTGAGGCAACAGGAAGGTGGGAAGCAAGAACGCATACCATATTTCTCTCTTATGAGGGAATCAGAATTTCCCACAACTATTTCTTCATTGCTTGTATTTGCTTACAAATACAAAAACATCAGTCCTTTTATTAACAAGCCGAAAGAGAATGAATAGTGAGCACACAACCTAAAAAATGTCGTTATTTGATTATTCAGATTTTTTTCTTTCGGTTTTTAAATTTTGTTTTGTGCTGGATATTGAATCCCAGCACTTGTGAAGTCACTGAGTTGTTCAGAATGGGCTGAAATGTGGGATCCTTCTGTCTCAGGGTCCCAGAGTGCTGTTTAATGAATAAATTTGTGAACTGATGAAAGATAGATAACTTGGTGTTTGGGGTCATTGAATGAAGAGATGACTTCTCAGGAATTATTATTAAAGGGTGTCACTTTTTTTATAGAAGTTAGATGCCACCAGGGCAATAGTAACAGTAATGACAAATCTATGGCATCAGTGCTGCAGACAGCAAGTGGAGCCCTCTCTGGGCACCTGAGCCAAGTTGCCCCAGCAGCCAAGCATTGGATAAGTTGTTTTTTCTAAGCTAAAACTTCAATATTCAGGTTTAATTGCAGTGCTGACACTTTACCATAGAAGAGCAGATTTTGGATTGCAGTTTAATGGTTTGCCATCACTGGCCTAGGACATAGGTATTGTTTTTTGTTTTTAGCAACAGGAGTACATTGCCATAACCAGAGTAGCTAAGACATCTTGTGTTCTTTACCTTTTCTGTCCTCTTTTTTTTCTTTCTTTTCTTTTCTTTTCTTTTCTTTTCTTTTCTTTTCTTTTCTTTTCTTTTCTTTTCTTTTCTTTTCTTTTCTTTTCTTTTCTAATTTAGCATTGGGAATACTGTTGAACATTGGACGCCTCAATTACCCTTTAGATTTCTCTGACTAATCCCTCCACAACTGAAATCCCTCCACCGGATTTACTGTGGTAAATACGGGGCACCAGAATGTGACTGACTTAAGTGCTTCCTGTGCTTCTGTTACTGACTACTTGAATGACCTTGTAGTTTAGTAAAGATAGAACATTATTATTAATTTTTCTACATCCTACGTTCTAATGTTGAAGAACTTCTGTTTGCCACTTTCAGGTAGTTCACTTCCAGTTTTAAGGATCATCAGCGCAGGGTTTGAACATTAGTAAAAGATGCCGTCTTTCTTTTCTCTTCTCCCGTTATTCCAAATTGGTCTAATTGCTGGAGACCTATGCCATTATTTATTTTATCTAAGGCATTGTTATGAATTTTAGGCAAAGCACTAAGAAAGGAGTAGCTGCCAATTTTATTGTGAAACAGTGTAAGACAGTTTTAAGTTATGCAAGAATTGTGCACTCCACCCTCCCCAGAAGCTTACAGTTTTCATCCCTTCTGAAAAATTTGGCAACATCTGCTTGCAGTTGCTTTGATATGTAGTAGTTCATCGTAACAGAAATGAAAAGATTTCATTTATTTAGTTTATAATGCCGTCTTGAAGTTGTTCTCCATTTCTTGGCAAGAATGTTTCAAACTGATGTCATCGTTCTAGTCTGTAATAAATAATTTCCTTTTCTGACATCAAACTCTAGCTTGATAGTCTCTGTTATGGCTTTCTGTGTATGCAGTAACTTTGGACTCATGGATTATTCATAACATAATCTTTTTAAAAGTTTTTCAAATATAATTAAACTCATCTCTTGTCATAGCAGCAGTGGTTTTGATGACAGTTGAAGTGGTAGCAAAACAAAGAGCTTTGACCAGCCCTGGGCGTATACAGGCAGTTGCACCTATGTGAAAACTACTGCCTGACAGCAGTTATGAGATACCATCAGTTGGAAGACATCTCCCAAGTTCAGAGATGATGGAATAAAAATATATGTCTTATAAACTATGAAATATACTAACATTGATGGAAGATAATGTAGCTTCAGTCGACTTTTACTGACCACAGTGGAAGCCTACCTGTCCTGCTGGAATGGGGGCTGCATTCTCTCTCCTTTTCTTTTTGACCAAAAATCCTCCTGTTAATAGATCAAGACCTATTTTCCTATGTAGTTCTGTTCTGTCTTCAGGCTTCTTTGAGTTTACCAGAACCTCTTAGAACGTTCATATGATCTCTCCAGGCAGTAGGAAACGTTGGATTTTTTTTTTTTTTTATTTCAAGTGATGCTCATTTTCCCCATTCTTCAAACTGCTGTAGGATTCCTAAAAAGGAGCAAGTGGGTGGGGAATAACAGCTTAGAAGATTGCACTTTGGAAGTGGAACCTAAGGAGTTAGTTTTTAAAAACATAATGTGATTAAATAAGAACCTGTGAAGGAGAAAGGTGCGTGGAAAGGAGAGTTGCAAGCACAAGCCCGGGCCTGGCCCTCCTTCGACATGCGCACAAAGCCGGGGCCGCTGCACATACAGCACATGGGGGTCGTGGAGAAGCTCCTGCTGTTGGGGCTGAGTCACACGCAGGATGTAGATTTTAGCAGCTCAGAATGCCCTCAGATCATCAAACACTCCGGAGTGAGGCATGATACACGATCATTTTTAGGTTCTAGAACATTATTCTGGTGACCTGTGAAAGATAAATTGAAGTTTAAATAAAACTAAGGTGTAATATTCTGAAGCTCTTTCAGTTTTTCAGATGAGGGGTCACAGCAGGGATGGAGGCTGAATTAGAAGCGGAAGGAATTGAAAACATTGGGAAAATATAGTGCTCAGCAATATTCAGGATATAAGAAGTAATTAGAGGTGATCTTTCTGCTCCTGCTGGAGAGGAGATGAAGTGGGTGACATCATTATTTGACTTCAGACGATACCGAGGAAGAGAAACTTTCAGGTGGGAAGGTGATCGGCTAAAAATATTCCTTGTGGAGGAAGCAGATAAAAATGTCATCTTTATGACTAAGTTTGGCGTTTGACTCTGTCATGTTAGAAAGAGATTGCTGTTATGTTCTGTGCAGCACACAGTAGGTGCTGGAGAGGATAGGGTTCTGAGGAAATCCAACCCCAGGAATGCAATATTCTAGGCAAAGAACAGTCTTATATAAACAATTTCAAGAAAATAGAGGAATAAGTCAGGCGTGGTGGCACACATCTGTAATCCCAGCACTTGGGAGGCTGAGGGAGGAGGATCATTGTGAGTTCGAGACCACACTGGGCTACAAAGTGAGCTGAAGGCCAGCCTAAGCTGCATAGTGAGAACCTGTCTCAAAAAGAGCAAAAAAAAAAAAGGAAAAAGAAACAAAATAGGCATAATGCAATAGGATAGATTATGCTGGACAGCTACCCTTATTCACAGTGGCTTTGAGATTAATGATGAGTCTCGAAATACGTTCCTGAGACACAGTATGATAGTATTTCTTTGTGCCAGGTTCTTCTCTGTCAAGAAGCATCCCGTGCCATTTGGGAGGTGTTTCTTAGGTTCTCAGACACTTTCTCACTGAGAAGGCTGCAATGGGATTCCTACTAGAATTTGGTTGAGTCCTAGTAATTTTGTGCTTTTTTTTCCTCACTATATGAAATAACACTTTTGATTTCATAGATTGATTTTTTAGCAATGTGCAAATTCATCATGAAATTGAAAATGGTTTAAAAAATAAAAAAAAATTAGAAAATGGTTTTTAAGCATCAAAAGGACAAGAAGTTATAACATGGAGTATGAACATTACATTTTTAAAAGAAATAATCTGTAATGTATCTTTGCAAAGATTAAATTTTCTCTTGTATTAAAAAATATAAGAAGTTCATTAGCTTATACTATTCATGTAGAGATGTATTCTAAATTGCTAACTAAAAATTTGGATAAGACAGTAATATGAAAAAGAGTTTTACTCATTCTCAGATACATCTTCAGTGAAGTTCTAAATCTTACTGGTAATTACCAATGAAGATTTATCAGTAAACTCTACACACCTTTGAATATAACTTAGTATGCCTACATTATTTAAATTATGAGGAATAGTATTAGCAGGAAGTTTCTTAAAAGCCCAGATTTAAATTAATAATTTGTATGTTTAAAATTAAGATCCATTAAAATTTGTATGACAAAAATAGTACTTCAAATTGCCATAAATTAGTCAATAAAAGAAAAAGCAAATTTTTGCCATTGCGTATGTTAAGAAACTTTGTCTCATGTATGGATAGTCATATTGTAAATACCACACTATAAGTTCTCAAAGCATTATTTTTTCATACACTCTACTTGTAGTTCTGTATCTTTAATTAATTTTCTTTTCTGAATACTTAGAAATAGGATCTGCTAAACAATTACATTTAAAGAAACTAGAAACAACTGCAGTGCATACCTAAGTCAACTGATTCACTCATGGGAGGATATAACTTTATTGTGACTATAGCGTGGTTTTTAATTACCCATAAAATTATATATAAAATTTCTTGGAAAAGTTATAATTATTATTCCACGATAATATCTGAAATAATCAGTATGCACAAAGTAATCATGTGTTTTATTGGAGTCTTTCATTATAATTCATTTTGATTAAGTCCTTTTTATTCCACCCTAAGTTTTGAATATTTTAAAATGTGTTTTAATTTGTTGCAAAAGTGACATTTATAGTGTTCTTTTCTTGCAGATAAGAATGTGCCTTTTGATGAGAAGACTTCATCTTTCTACCACGAAGAGCAGAGTTTCTATGTTTAAGGAATAAGAAGCCACTGTATAAATAAGGGAGTGGGTATTTAAGTTACATACATTATGACCTTTAATTTTTTTGTTTCTGCAATAAATGCCATACTTTGTTATTATATTTTGTACAGAAGTGCTCTGTTAATGGGCTTACTGTTGTTAGGGATCAACTGTAATGTAACAGTTTATCTGAAAATTTCTTTAAAAGAGAGGGTTTTTTTTCCCTCATGAGTTTTTGTTTCTTGCTTACAATATTGTAAATTGTTTATGTACTAATCAGTTAATGTTATTTTTGTTGGTATCATATTTTAAAGAACCATAAAACCTAACAACAGTCTAGTATGTAAAAGTAATTAAACCGTCCTTTACTGAAATATATTTCCCATTTCTGTGGGGAAAAGAAGCCAAATTTATTGTGTTGTTATGGATTTTTAAAATATTAATAAATGAGTTTGCAATGCAATACAACATATGTGTTTTAAAATTCTTTTAACATGATACAGATGCAATATGTTTAAAATATAAACCCAAAGCCTATAAAATGATATATGAACACATATGTATGGCTTTTACATGGCTTCTAGAGAAAACTTCTCAGAAAGTCTTTTCATCTGTTAGTAACTTTCATGTAGAAGTACCTGGTACAAAATAAGATAAAAGCTATTATGCCAATATTAAGTAATAGATCAAATACAAAGTGAGATACCAGTGTGTAATTTGATTAGATATTTCATGCATCTGTGAGTGTTAGTCATTATACTTATTCATAATATACTATAAGATAGAGTTAATTGCAAAATAAAGATTATTCAAAGCCTTAATCATGTGATTACATGGTAGAAAGAGGAATTAAAGTAAATGCATTCACTTTGAAGTCAAGGGTTTTATGTAGAGACTGACTTCATCATCTGCAAACAGATTATTTAACCCCATTGAACCTTAGTTTCTCTCAGTGTAAAAGTTAGATAATTTATAGGAAAAACATGGATGATAAACTCAGATGCTTTCTGACACTAGGGAGGTCATTTAAATATGTGTAACAGAAAGAATGGGCTAGGATACGTGCATATTACAAGACAGTCCCGAATTAAGTGGATTATCACAAAGATTTATTTCTCACTCATGCCACATAGGTATCATGGGTTCTAATTACTCTTTCATCACCATTTCTCTGGACAAAGTTGCTGAAGAAACCTTGCCTCCAATATTGTCTTATAATAAGCACCCAGATGTAGTGAGTCATGTGGTACCTTAGAGGCTTCTGCTTCCAGTTGATATTCTCAATTCCCACTATGTTTTTTTTTTTTTTTTTGGTTTTGGTTTTGGTTTTTCTCCGGTACCGGGAACCGAACTCACGACCTTGCGCTTGCCAGGCAGGCGCTTTTGCCGCTGAGCTAAATCCCCAGCCCCTCCCACTATGTTTTATTGGTCAGAAACCTCTAAGGCTGCTCCAGCCCTCAGTAAAGAAAGGATAGACAAGCCTCTGTCAAGGAAGATATTTATAATATTTGCCCACTTAGAATGTCAAATTGGGGCAAAGAATGTAGCCCAGTGGTAGAATGCTTAGTTGGATGCCTGAAGTTCTAGGTTTGAATCTGTGCACCAGAAAGCACACAAATGCACACACACGCAAAAATGCTAAACCAGTTTTATTTATATGTCAACTGCTTTTGCATGGTGAGTCAGACAATCTTTATTTCAGCACATATATCTGTAGTGTACAAGCAAGGACTAAAGAAGAAGGCATCTCTTACTCCAAAGGATCAGCTTTCCTAGCATGCTAACTCAGTTTTTAATTTTCCAAAGAGGCCAGGATCTCGTTTCTTATAAAATATTACTCTTTTAAATCGATATTTCATAGAATGCATTTGGATTAAATATATCCCCATACCTTATGAGAAGAATAAATAAAAAAGATTTTGGAGTAATTTGTGGATAGTGTATGATGAATCAAGTTTCTCACCAGCCACTGTATGGAACTAGAAAATTCAAGTAGTTTCTGTTTGATCCTTTTTTATTAATAGGTATAGAATCCCCTATATTATTCAACTTTCTTGTGAGTGAGACATGGTACCAAGGTATCCACAGCTGAAAGGAGGAAAACCTTAACTTAGCTCATGGTTTCAGGGGATTCAGTATATGGTTATGGGACTCCAAAGAAGAAACCTTACAGCAGAAGACTGTGTCCCAGCAAATTTGTTTGTGTCTCAGGGAACTGTCTCAGAGGAATAATCCAGGACCATAAAATGAATATATTACTCAAGACCAGACTCACATCCTGCACAAAAACACCCAGGAGGGCACTGTGTCATCACCTAGTACTTTCATAATCTGATGAAGTTCACAGGTTAGGATTAGTAGTCACAATCCACCCCTTCTCAGCTTTACACCCAAACACATTTTAAACCATATTTAATCTCCAAAAGAGACAATAGGAAGTTCATCATTTCACCTAACATCATACAACTATCTCACAACCTAGAAATGCAATAGTCCCTTCCTCAAAGTCGCAGTGTTTCAAACATGTTTCAGAAGTCCAATTCCCACTTTGTACTGAGACTCAGGCAATGTCTTAGCTGAGAAAATCTGGAAAAATCACAAACAAGTTACCTGACTCAGTTCATTCACCACACTGCTTGTTGAGCGCATCAGCACTTCATTGACTGGGTTCTCTGTCTCCAGGGAAAAGAATCTCTATACCATTTGACTCTTCTCCAGGTTATAGGCACTGCACACTAAGACTTCCTTTCTTTTCAATGAAAAACATCTATGTTTGCTGCTGAATACATGTCAAATCCTACCTTACGCTGGTAAAAAGTCTGAGCCTCCAATGTTGCTCTTTCCTCATTGTGATTGACTTCTGTGCCTTCTATCCCATTCTTATTGGGGTTCAGTCAGCTAGGCAAAGCCATCCTCACTGTTTTTCCCCCAGATGCATTTCTCTCTACATTTAGCATAAAGTCTTGTTGCTGTGGGATCACAGCCGTAAGGTATTTTGAAGCCTTTTATCTAGTTGGGAAAGCCAGCAAAATACTCTGTGATGTTTATCATTGTTTTTCTTCCCGGTGTGGCCATGACAGAAATATTTTGGAGGTGTGAATAAGGGGTTCTCCAGCTACATTACTGAAAGGAACAGTACCCTGAAGTTACGTGTTTCTGGAAATAACCTATGGTTAAGGTTTTACCCGAAGCCCTTTCTTATTTTGAGAAAATTGTTGCTGTCTAGAAAGATTGGAGATGACAAACCTGTCTGTTTTTAACATAGTAAGTCCTTCACTTTTTTCTCTAAATTCTCTAAAACAGTTGAATATTGCTCTTCTTAAAATCTCATTCAATTGTGCAATATCCTGTGCATGTAACAGAAACCAACTGGCAGTTTCAACATTCTGCCTAGAAATCACCTCAGCCTCCTTTACTTCATAATTATATTATTGGAGCTTGTTATCACTATTTTTTTGTCTCTGACAGATCTCATTCAACCACTCTCACAAGTTCCTAAATGTTACTTCTATATTATACCAGTCAAATTAGTCATTGAAGCATCCCCTGATTCCTAATAAATAAACACTACATCTTGATACGGGAAAGAACTTGCGTACAAAGAAAGGCATATATTGTTGCCATCTTTGGAGTTTATCTACCACTGGAAAACCCTAGTTGCTGGTAATACTTACTACTATAACTTTTCTCATTGACAAGAATTATTTCATATTTCAGCAAGGCAGCAGTACAGTGCTGGGAAATGTGGAGTTTTGCTGGACTCATTACCATCTCAAGAAAGTATGGCACCCAACTCGAAGTTCAAGGTGTGGAATCTTGGTGATATGTTATAACACCAATAGGAGTTTATAGTTCCTGATTTTCTACCAGCCTATCCCCTTAAAGATAATTTATCTGTCCACAAAGCATTTACAAGGTTGGAGAAGAAGCATATCTGCTGTCATGAAAGGTCCCATCAAGAAAAGAGAATTGGGAAAATACAGAAAGATCAATGATCCACAATAATTCTCACACTCTGCTGACCCAAAATGACAAGGACTCTGAATTAATCCAACAATAAGCTCTCGACCAGATGTTTTTTCTTTATTTGATTTATGTGTCCTCCAGCTCCACCCTCTGAGCTTCTGAACAGACCCTATACATTGGTTTGTATCAAAGCTTGTGACCGTGTATGGGGAGGCGGAAGCGGAATCTTGGGAACTTTTTGTGTAACAATAAAGTCGTACCAGTTTTCAGTCCTGATTACCACACAGTGCTGTCAGGACATTCATAGGTTACTTGCATCCAGCCACTATCATGTAGGCATAACCACAGTTCCAGAGGTTATCTAGTCCCAAGTCCTCAACCTAGAATATTCTCTTTATTTATTGGCCTCTGTACGCTTCTCACCTTTTCTCCCTTGGCCTAGCGGTTTTTGGCTTGGGTATTTGAAAATAATACTCTTCAGGAGAAGCCAAATTTTGATGCTTATTTCTGCCTTGAGACTGTCTATGTTTGCCTGGCTGCCTACCAGTTTGTGTCTTGCTATGGACGCTGCTTTGCTCTCTTTGCAATGGTTTCTATTTAGAGTATGAAATGTGCTTTTATTTTTAATTCCCTAAGGCTTGAAATTACAGGATTCTCTGGCAATAAAGATGTCAGGCTGTGGGAAGAAAGTGCTGCTCTTACCAAAGTGGCATTTCCCCCCATCTGTGCTTTCAGGCTATTTGCTTCTCACTTGGAAATGTCTTGCTCTTGTAGAATTTTCTTAAAAGTATCAGTAAGAGCCAGTACTGCCCAACCATCCAATCAGCCAGTATGGTCCGAAGCTGAGCTTTAGTCAGTGTATAGTTTGAGTTACACAGTTCATCAGGTGAATATTCAACTCCAATGCTTTTCTTCATATATAAAGTGGGAGCAGCTTTCTAGTTCCTCTAGAAATTTTGTATCTACAAATTTTCTAGCTGATCTATCTATAATCTAAAGCTCGAATTTTCATCCGTGTGTACTTTCTTCCCTAAGCCAGTTCCATAATTACATTTCTGTTGTTTTTAAACACCTATTTCTTATAGCTCTACTGAACCGACTGAGGTACATAAATCCAACAATAATACATTTTAGCTAGTTTTAGTTGTGACCACTAGCTCATAAAAACCTCCAGAATGACCAGGGGAAAACATTGTTCAAAGGGAAACAGTGTCGCATGTCACTCGAGTCTCTGACATGGAAACTGAAAAACAGAAGCTGCTCTGAGCGGCCCCAGAGAAACAGAACTTAGTGATTACAGAGGCTGGAAACTCAGCTCTCCTGGCCCAGAGGCTGCCTCATTTGTTCCATTTTGTCACCAAACTGCTGCCCGGTATTGGAAAGCAGTCTGGAGACTGTGGTCTTTACCTTACTGCCTCCTTTCAAAACTTAACAACAAAAATAAAAAAGTAAAAACTCTTAATATTGGGTGTTAAATAAAGGTATATGTAGAATCTGATGCA